TCACTGTTTCAACAGTCATTATTTAGATAAAAATATTTTATTTTCCTTTGGGGGTTTGTGTTACTAGATATTTATTTTAGCACAAGATTTATTCAGAAAGTTCATGCTTGTCAATCTAAAAGATTTGTCTTTTTCTCTATTTTATACAAACTGTTATTTGTATTATGCACATCTATGTATTATGTACATCTATGTATTATGTACATCTATGTATTATGTACATCTATGTATTATGTATATCTAAGTGCATCTATGTAGTATTATGTTCATCTATTGTACATCTAAAAGGGGAAACAATGAGATTTGGTGTGTGTGTGTGTGTGACAGAGATAGTAGTACACGGTTTCCCAGCTACCGCCTGCAGGCTCAGCACCCCCACTCTACTCCGAGAAACAGCTTTTAGACAAAAATATCTCTCTCCTGTTGGTTACCCCCCCCCTTCCCCAGACACACAACACCACCTCCATTTCCGCCACAGATATGACATCACAGGTTGTACCATGTGATCCACCCGCACAAAGCTTTACAGCTATGGATGGGGCCTACCTGTGACGCACAGATCTGCTTGATGGGTGAAAATTAGAGGTGGAAAACAAGAGCCTTCCTTCTATACTTCCAAATGAATATTGATTATCTGGGTTGGATGGCACAGACAATGCATTTACAGAGGTCTTCTCTTAGTTTGAAGTGCCCAAATAAAGTTTACCAATGAAAATTAAGATCTCCCCATGTTAATGAAAACTAAAATTAAAAGAGGATGCCATTTCTTGCTCTAAACTAGCATTAGAAATTATATAACTATGAAACAGAAACTTGGAAAATCTTGAGTGGAAAATACAAAATATAGTAATCCATTACACAGTTTTACCTGTTGGATCTGAGACCACGTCATATAAAAAAAGAGAAAACAATATTGTTGTGCACTGACCAGACGGAGTGTTGAAACCAAACCAGTTTCATGTTCAACTTCCCTGAATGCTGACGTCTAGAAACAAAACGGATTAACTGGAGCTTTAAAAGAGAAATGAGCATTCTTGTTAAGTAAACTCTCTCCACATAGACATGTAACGGTTTGCAGCTGTTCACATTTAAGATTATTGTGTAATAAGTCACATTCACACATGTCAAAGCATTGAAAGCATTTGTGTTTCCTTTATTTGTTTTAATTAAGATGTAAGTAGAGCAAATACTAGAAATTACTAACATTCATTCCCAAAGTTATTTTAAAAGTTTTTCATAAAAATATACTTTAGAATTTGAGTTAAACTGTTATAAATTAGCTTTTCGGCATTAGCATCATTGGCCTGTAGATGTAATGCATTCTGCAGGGTTTCCATACAGAATTTTGTCTAAGCCAACTTGTTTTAATGAACTATGTGAGGTTCCTTAAGATGGCAGGTGGTGTGATTTTGCAATATATGAATGGATTGAAATAAATTACTTCATATGTATTTCTTTTGGGCTCAACAAATTGTTTTTAATGTGTTATTTGTCAAACAATCAAGTGTTGCTTTTTTTTTTCTTCCATAGTAACATGAAACCACATTGAGCATGCTCACTGTTTTCACTTTATTTTCCTTTTCCATGGCAACAGAGACATTATTAAAAGATTGTCTATAACAGACATGTGCGTCACTCCTCATAAGATCATTCTACACTCTGTGCCGCACTTCGATTACGGTATAACTTAAGTTAACAAAGAATAAAAGGTAAAAATACATTACACATTACAGTAATAAAAAGTAATAATTAAAAAAAGCTGGAAATTATGCAGTTGATATATTTTCTGTGTTGGGAAAACACACACACAAAAAACCTGATAGTCCAAAAGTAAAGGACAGAAATATAAATATTAGGGACAAGCTTAGTGCACGGCTTACTTTAAAAATTTTTTATCCTAATTTATTTCAATTCTATTCAGTTTATTTATATAGCGCCAGTTCACAACACATGTTATCTCAAGGCACTTTACAGAGAAAATTCAACAAGAGCATACAGTCAGATTGATTCAAATTTTCTATCAAAGGAAAACTAGCTGATTGCATCAACTCATTGACTCTTCAGCAATCCCTCACACCAGGCCTGCTTGTAGTGACAGTGGAGAGGAAAACTCCCTTTTAACAGAGAGAAACCTCCAGCAGAACCAGGCTCAGTGTGAGCGGCCATCTGCCGAGGCCGACTGTGGTTCAAGGAGAAAGAAGAAGACAAACAGAAGTAGAGCCAACTCCATGCCAACCCCCATGTCAGAGGCTGAAAAAGAGCAAATACAGTTAGTCACAGTCAGAGAAACAGGACTAGCCTTAAAAATAGACAAGGTGTCTGCCTACGGACTAAAACCGGTAGTTGGTTCCACAGGAACCAGAGCCTGATGGCTAAAAGATCTGCCTCCAAATATACTTTTAGAAATGCTACTAACCACAAGCAGAGATGGCAAAAGTACTCACTTTCCGTACTTGAGTAAAAGTACAGATACTTGTGTTAAAAAATACTCTGGTGAAAGTGGAAGTACTGGTTAAACTTCTTTACTCAAGTAAAAGTAACAAAGTACAGGCTTGTAAATTTACTTAAAATATAAAAGTAAAAGTAGAAACCACTTTTTTCATGCCGTTGCCTACATTTTAAATGGATGTCTGCCAATAGGACTAGATCTCCGTTGTGTTCATTTTCAATCATCTCATCGTCCATGCTACTATGCTAACGCCACCGCCACCAAGCTGCAATGATTTGCCGCAAATGGATACCGCCGAATCTGTCGATTCATCTTGTAGTGGTGCGTCAAATGCAACATAGATTCCCATCCAATTAGATTGAATTTGGTATTGATGACGTGAAAAATAATAACGGTAACTCCATTAAAATGATTCAAAACTAAAGTAACGAGCCAATTTTTTAAAATGTAAGGAGTAGAAAGTACAGATATTTGTGTAAAAATGTAAGGAGTAGAAGTAAAAAGTCGCCATAAAAATAAGTAGTAAAGTAAAGTAAAAATATCAGAAAAATCTACTTGAGTACAGTAACGAAGTATTTGTACTTCGTTACTTCCCATCTCTGACCACAAGTCAACGTGCCGATTAAGAGCGAAGTGCTCTGTTAGGAACATAAGGAACAATCTGATGTCTGATGTAAGATGGAGATTGTTTTTTAGCACTTCATATGTGCAAAGGGGGATTTTAAATTCTATTCTAGATTTAACGGGAAGTCAATGAAGAGAAGCTAGGATAGGAGAGACTTGATCTATTTTTAATTTTCATCAGAACTCTGGGTGCAGACTAGTTTCTCAGCTCAGAAGTTACTGATTAATAGGCATCTTTTTATAAGACTCAGGTCCAAAGATAATAACTTCTGTTCTATCTGCATTCAGAAGCAGAAAGTTATGAGTCATCCTGATTTTTATGTTTTCAAGACATGCCTGTAGTCTATGTAATGGGTTATTTTTCATCAGTTCCTATATAGCTAGTTTATTTACAATGAGTGTCATTAGTAAGGAGACAATTTAAGCATGAATTTAAAAAGATAAATGAATAGTTTGGCATAACTGGAAAAAATCCCATGTCATAAAGTGACCGTAAAGTTAGGCTATTTTGTTTGAATTGTGTGCAGATATTGTGAAAACGGTAAAATACAAAATAATATATATGTTGTATGTAAACATTAGTGTAAACTATGTTAACAACTTTGTCAAATAAATACTTCAAAGCTGTTATAACCATTAATATTTATGAACTGTAATAGTACATAGAAAAGGCTTGCCTTTAGTTTCTGTTATTTTTCAGAATGCAATATGATCTGTGTATGACTTTGACTTCTTAAGGGGTTTAAAACAGAAAAAGGATTTCTCTTTAAAATGTTAATGAGATAGTAACTAGAAGTTAGACTAATGCTGTTCCAACTGTGACCCTGACTGCCCACATAAAAGTTTTGTAAATATTCTGTCAGATATTCCATCCTGAAATGATAAAAAAATGAACAGAATGCTAAAATTAGATTAGATAGGTACTTTATTTATGCAAGGAAGAAACAAAGTGATAGAAAAGTCATTCTAAAGAGTTTTTAAAACAGAATGAAAAAAAAATCTTACTATGAATAGGAAATTTGAATTGTAAGACATTAAAAAAAATATAAAGTTTGTGGTAACCAGTATGAATGATAATAAGCTTACAAATGACCAAGGCATGCAGTTTACATACACGCAGGAAAATCAAAAGCCAAAATTTTCCTACAATTTGATACTAAATCCGACCAGATTTTTCCAGTTTTAGCTCTCTTTTGCTCTTAAAAATAGAGATTTATGTAGGCCTTCAAATGGCTAAAATATTTATTGTAACCTTAAAGCTTTTAGGTTTTATTTTGGCCCATTCCTCTCGACAAAACCACTGAAACAAATCAGGTTTTAGGCTGCTGTGCTGACACTCATCCTTTTTGGCGTTCAGCCCTAATGGACCTTTGACATGAAAAGCTTTGTTTGATTCAGTTTCCAGACAATAAGTAATAATATTTTAAACTATAGTAAAATTGTCCTCTAAAGAAAAGTAGAAACTGATTTATAGAAATAACTATTGGACCAGACAAAATGTTCAGTATGTGAAAGTTTTTACTAAAACACTTGTGATTCTAATGTAAAGTTATTCTCTATGTCAAATGTCAATTTTTTATATATAGCACTTTACAGGTATAGCACTGCACCAAAGTGCTTTACAGGAAAGACAACAACACCAATTAACAAAACAGAATGTGAAACACTGCTTCAATTAAAAGCTAAAGAATAAAAATAAGTTTTAAGAAGCGATTTAAAACGATCCAGGCTGTCGGCAGATTTAATTTGAAGAGGTAAATGGTTCCACAGAACAGAATATTTGGGGAGTATTCTGAAATTATTGTCGGAGTGAGACCTCTATTTTTTATGCTCAGGCTGTGGTTGGCTCTAGACTAATAACGTTATGGGAAAACGTAATTTCTGTCCAATGCGCGTGCTGTGACGTTACATAATGGGACGTAAGCGTGTAAAAACGCTCGAGGCGGAGCGTGAAGCGAACATTCTGCTTCAGTTTATTGATCGGACGGCATCAGACAGATATTTGCCCGCAGATATCTAATACCACAGCTTATTTTTTGGGAGGTTATGGACAGGACGCTGCTCTGAAGAAGTGTGGAACAGACTAAGGTTACAGGCGAACACTCGGAAATAATGATGAAGAAGGATATCAGTCTGACCCTGGTGGACGACGCAGACCTCAAACCGCATCTCCGCGACGCCGAGAGCCTCCTCAACTCCCCGGATTTGGGTCTGCTCAAGCTGGCTTCCCCAGAGCTAGAGAGGCTCATCATCCAGTCCAACGGACTGGTCACCACCACACCAACCAGCTCCCAGTTCCTCTATCCAAAGACGGTGACTGACGAGCAGGAGTTCGCCGAGGGCTTCGTGAAAGCGCTGGAGGACCTGCACAAGCAGAACCAGCTGAACGGAACCGCTCAGACGAACAGCAGCCTGGAGCTCGGGGCTAACATCCCGGCGGTGACCGTTCAGCCGGACCTACCGGTCTACACTAACCTTAACAGCTACGGCAGTGGGCCCCTGGGAACCACTGTCAACTACGCCACGGACACTGTACCGTTCCCGCCCCCTCCCTCCCATCACCTGGGGACAGCCCCGCTGCAGCCGGAGCTCTCCCGGGTTCAGCCGCCGAAGGAGGAGCCTCAAACGGTCCCAGACGTCCAGAGCTTCGGGGAGAGCCCACCGCTGTCTCCGGTCGACATGGACACGCAGGAGCGCATCAAAGCCGAGAGGAAGAGGCTGAGAAACAGGATTGCCGCCTCTAAGTGTAGGAGGCGCAAACTGGAGCGGATCTCCAGGCTGGAGGATAAAGTGAAGACGCTGAAGACCCAGAACACCGACTTGGCTTCGACCGCGAGCCTGCTGAGAGAGCAGGTGGCCCAGCTGAAGCAGAAGGTCCTCACCCACGTCAGCAGCGGCTGCCAGATGTTACCACACGAAGTCCAGGTTCACTGATGGGAGGGAGGGAGAAGCTCAGAGGACTTCATTCTTGTTGGTTCTTCTGTATGTAGCCCAGATGCGCCCCCCCACTCCCACTCTGCCAGGCGACATCAACCGGTCTGTACAGAGCCGGCCCAATGCATAAGCGAATCAAGCAGCTGTAAGGAACCAATCAGAGAGCTGCCATTCTTTTATATACAGGCAGTTTCAGCTCATTATAAAGGTTTCAACGTTAAAAATTTACACGTTGAACTTAAAGATATTGGTGAATGTACTACTTGTAAATATACAAAGAAATGTATGGTAACATATTCACTAATTCATGCTCCGGGTTCCGTTTTTCTGTCGTTTGTGTCTGAAGTTGGGTTCTCTTTTTAGCGAGGAACGCCAAACGAGGCTAAGAGATACTTGCGAATTGTCTGGAGCTGTTTTTCAGTATAATCACTTCAGTTTTAGCCCTTCTTCCTAATTGAACCAGATTTCCATAGGCTGTGTGCCGGGTGGTGGGTTTTACAGGAAGTGGCCATCTGAACCAAATTCCAGGTAATGCCCTATACATTCGTGTGCTTACTGAGTGCTAATGTTGTGTAAGACTGATCAAATGTAAGCATACGTGGTAGAACACAACTTGATGAAAGCTTTCAGTGTTTTCAGCCATTGATGTAGAACTGGGATAATTTAATTTTAAAAGGATTTCTTTGTATCCCTATTGTCTACAGAATTTTTTGTTGGTTTGTTGTTTTAGCCAAAAAGAAGAGAAATGAGTTTAATTCGTAATCCTGTTCTACCTCGTATGTGTTGAATAGTATGAGCGGGGCACCTTTATTTTTAAAAATCTTGATATTTAGTCCTTAAACGTGTTTATTGGCTGTATTTAGTCTTGACGCTGGACCAAATTGATATTTTTACATTAATATGCACAATTAACCCTCATAAGGGAGGTGTTTGTAAGTAAAAAAAAAATACTTGCGGTTTGTATGAGATAATCTCACTATATAATCTATTTACTATATTGTATTTCTGTAAAGAAAGATTTGCATGTATTGGATAAACTGGAACATTGCCCTCAGCTGTGTCTTCTAGGCAACATGTTTCTATGTGTTTATCTTATAAACCTTTACACGTGTATGTTTTTGTTTTGATTTTTTTACTCTGTGTCCTTATTTCTCTGTGTACTGATAAAAAAATGTGAAAGCTGCAACTTTGCTGTTGCACAGACTGTTGCTATCACCTGTAGCCTACAGTTAGTTTGGGCTTAATGCTGTGTTTTGAATTAAATGCTGCTCAGCAATAAAGGTTTTGCTCTTCATTTGTTTTGTTACTCTTAAACCAGACATTGGGGGAGAAATAGGCAGTCACTGCTGCTGACGTACTGATTAATTACCTTGGATGTGTTCAATATGCATAATACTTTTGATATCAGTACATCACAAAGCAGAGGGAGATATCGCTTTGATAAATAGAAATGATCTTGTCAATTTTTCAGATTCTAGTTCATTAAAAACTAGAACTCCTATTAGAAAACCTAAAGTACTTTCTTTTTGTCGCCTTTGTTTTATGTACCTTGAAATTGCATGTTCTTTTTTTTTTTTTTTTTTTTTAAGCCAAAACAAGGCTTTGTTGGGCTACCCAACAAAGCTTGGAACTCGACGCTAATTCTGACATTTTGAATTGAAAAAAAAAACTTCCTGAATGGGAAGAGAAATTTTTAAATTTGGAAAACCAACTCCAATGGTTTGTCTTTTAACTTTTTTGGTATTTACCTTGAAGAAGAAGAAAAAAAATCAACAGACCAGATCTCAAAGATAACTGGAAATCAATGTTGGCTGTTAAAAAAAAAAAAAAAATAAATAAAAAACAGAACTTCTGTATCTTTATGTTACAGACTGTATAAAGTTATATTTTGAAATTAAACTTTTTTCTGAACCTCAGGTAAATATCTTATACAACTGATTCAGATAATCTTATAACACCTTAAATAGAAAAGCCAATATAATAAACTTTTGACCCCCATTATTTCCTCCTCTGGTCTACTGTCCTTATATTCAGATAGGAGTATTACTCCCCCTGGTGGCTGAATGCAGAAATAACACCAGTACAGCAGGGCCCTGGTTGAGTTTAACATTAGGTTGTCAAACACCCCTGTTGGAACAATTTGATTAAACGAGTGTTAGGAAACATTATTTAACTTACAAATATTTTGATAAAGAAGCATTTGGCTGCATATTGCCATTTTACGTACAATTATTTTTAGTAATCTTTTAAATTGGTGTTTCATTACTTGCAGTGATTCATGATCAAAAGATAAGTTCTTTACTTTATTTTGAGCTAATTTTGAGTTTAAGATGAAGTGATACTGAAAGCGCATCCTCGAAAAAATAGATTTTGAAATGTAACAACTTTTGGAAAGAATTGAAATGAATCCATCTATATTGGATTTTTCCCAAACTTTTTAGCTTCTGACCTACAAAATGGTACCAGACTAGACCCATGACTCCAAACTATTGGTGCAATACACAGACATTTTTACAAAATCAATTAACCATGGGTTTAATAATATTACAAACAGCCAAAGTTTTTTTTGTCTATTTTTGAGTGATGCTTTTTCATCTTTATGAACATAAACATTGATAATTTAGTATAATTTCTATAGTAGATCTGAAGACACTATGCTGGTTGATCAAGGTTCACCCTAACTTTTGGAGTCAATGCTCTATATGACTGGATGTGATTAGATAAACATTTTCCTGTCTTCCGAATTTTCAGATTTCTTTTGCGAGATAATATTTGCTGTATAGATTACATAATAAAAAAAAGAATTGTAGACTTTAATATACAAAACATATTTTAATGTACTAAACAGACTTTAATATACAAAAGGCTTTAGAGGTTGTTTGGTTTCTTCTAAAGCCGAACATAAAACTTATTAAGATAACTGTCATGTCAGGTTACTCATAATTGTCATCTACTGGATGACTTTAAGCTAAAAACTGCACATCAAGGCAAAGCATAATTGATTAGTTAATAGGTTTTCTTTATAAACACGACAATTTCTGCTTTAAATCTTTGATATTCTGAAAACATTTATAGTACAGCAACATGGAAACTTTAGAACACTTATGATGAACAAGCCAGGTAATTGGACATTTAATATGTTTAATATTTTCCAGGATATCAATCTTATTAATGTTCAGAACAGAATAAGCAGATTTCTTTGTGACTTATAATAATGTTATTGGTGTTTTATTGTGTTTTTAGTTGTATTTATGAAGTTATTGAATTAATGCCTGCTGCACTGTCCTCTCTAATTAGAAATGAGGACAGGGTTAAAAAAAACAAAACCAAAAAAAACTGTTAGCACTTTTTTCTCTCTCACTGTGAGGTTTTATGTGCCTTTTAAATGCAGTGTTCAGATTTTTTTCCATAACTGTTTTGTGTTTTAGGCGTAAACGTGTTTCGTAATGATCTCCTCTGACCATAGCAGCTTCTTCTACGTTAGTTGAGCCTGCTGCATGAATTGAGGAAGGTTTCAAACTGGATTTTCCCTGAGCAAGCTTTTCAAGAAGCAGCGATGAAAACATAAAAGCAGGTTTTTATGTAAAATCAACAAGTAAATACTTTTAAATCAGTTATTTTTATTGTTTTACCACAAAGTACAGATAAAAACATCCACAGCATGTTCTCTCATTTTAGTGGCCCAAACTGAAGGTATCTGAAGAGGCAGTGATTACAAGACCAAAAAGAAATAAACATACACGTTCCTGCGTGCTAGTAGAAGATCTATAGTCAGCAACCTCTACCAAGCTTGAAGGGTTTTATTTTCTTGTATTTTATGCTGCAGAGTGTGTATTGCTTCATAACTGAGAGACACATTCATTCACAAGTAGGCCAAGAAATGATTGCAGATACAGTACAACATGGCTCTTTTTAGGTTTGTTTTTTTTTTTGGATGCAAGCCTGAGTCGGCACAACACAATTTACGTGTATGACTGGGAGGTACAGTATTTACAGGTAATGGTTTATATGGAGAGGAAGACGTATTAGAAAGGAGAGCATTTTTATCAGTTTGGGTTTTATTTAGAACAGTCACAACCAATAAGAAGTAAAATATTCACAGGGAGAAAAATCACTAAACGCTGGCTGGGGATTCATTTTCTGTTACTTCAGCTGTCATTTCAGAGGCTCTTAAAATAAAACAGAAATATTGACTTCATCAAGTCTTTTTTTAATGATTTTTTCCCCCCCAATTTTTGTAATTTTCTTCCATAAATTCCTAAGAGAACCCCATTTTTGTTTTTCTTTTTCTGCCAAAACCTGTTTCATTGCAACTTGGAGCTAATGAAATGCCCCTATCAGCCAGTTCTACAGTAATCCAGCATCAGATGAATTAAAATCCTAGAAAACCATTTTTGGCTTTGAAAAGTGAAGCAAAACAAATGAGTAAATACTTTGAGGATTTGTTTGCCCATTAAAGTATTGACTCCAGCAGTTTCAACCTTCTCCAAAACAGACAAACACCAACATTTAAACATTAGCCTCCAACAGTCCAGTAGAGCTGCTCTGCATTACAGGATGCATTTTGTTAATAAGCACAGGAAAAAAAAGCGCTTAAAGTGCTTTTAGCCACTTGAGTCACTGCAGCTGATGAAGCCTCGCTGCAGATGTGAGTAAAAGCAAAAATCAGTCAATAAATGCTGAACTGACTTTAGTTCAGGCTTAAGAATTCAAATGTAGACAGAAAGCCGATGGAGGTTTTAACTGAACCCTCATCCCAAGTGTTTGATACCTGTCCAGACTGCTTCACCATTTTTGGTACCCCTGGTGCAGACTTGTAAGAAGCAGCATAATCCTACATTACAAACTTTAAAGAAAGAACAACCTTTAACTTCACTCCATATTCCAGGAAAATAATGAATTCTGAAATAGCTGATTTTTACCAGTTAATAACTCTACTACCAGTTACTTTAAAAAAAACAATGAACTGAAGATTTTTTACAAAAGTAAACCAGGTGAAACTAAAACTTTTCCACTTGAGGAGTTCTGGATAGAGGATATTGACAGATGAAAACTTTTTTTTAAACTTAAATGCTGCTCTAAGTGGGTGCTCTAAGTCAGCTAAAGGATTATTTTAAAGTCTCTATTCTCACAGATAACAATTAATTGATTAATAAATTAGATGATGATTATTTCAATAATCGATTAATCACAAATAATCCGACTAACTGTTTCAGCCCTTTTCTAAATGTGCACTAATAACTCTTTAAATATGACTGACTGACTCATAAAATGATTTGTTTTTCCATTCGCTAGTACTACGGTAAGTTGGGCACTATTTGAATCATTAGAAATTATAATAGACTATTTAAATTGTGCAATATGTAATTTTAATTGAGCACTTAGAGAATCACCTAAATTGACCAAATCAATAGCTGCAGGTCTGAGATTTACAAGAGCCATAATTAAAATCTCAAGACTGTTTTTTACTCAACCAACATTCAATATGATAAAGACAAGAAAAAAAAAGAAAATGTAGATGTATTCATCTTCATATTCTATCTTAAACCATAATAAGAAGCTCCCCTAAAACAATCTCAAACGTATTTTATAGTAATGCCTTCTGATCAGTCTTTACCAGGGGTGCCAATAAATGTGAAGGGCATCGCATAATTTATTCCTAAACTCTTCTGCTTGTTGGTGTGGAATACAAAATACATTTCTGATTAAACTTATCTAGGTTCAATCTTTTTGAAGCGAAAATGCAAAGCTGGTAAGTTCAGCATTGCCAGAGCAGAAGCAGCAGGCTGTAGTGTCCAACCTGTGTGGGACTTAAACCAAAAAATTACCTAAAACCTCACATATAAATACAGTGAAACCACAACAAACTCAGACGGCACTATTCTCCTTCTATTTTGTCACAACAGAGATGATCAAGATAAAGTCAGAATGAGAAAAAACTGAGAATTTTTTCATTATTAAAATCCATCTCTAAATGTTTTAGAAAATTTTTATATATATACTTTGTAGAACAAAGTAAATCTTTCATTGATCTTACAATCTTACTGAAAATTTGGATGAGTTTGTGCCTTGGAAATAACTTTTCTATTTACTACCTGTATAGAGTTTATTTCCAACTGATAAACAGCACAAATGTCTTCCTCTAGGATCAGATCTATATATTTCACATCAATTATCCTAAAAATCCACCATTAAACTCAAGTTATATGCAGCCCATACAGAGCTTGTAGTGTTACCTTTAATTTCAATCAGTAAAATAAAAAAGTGAGAAATGAAACTACATACAGTTCTTCAGCCTACCTCTCTGATCTGATCTTTTTCAGTCTGAAGTGAAAACTTAGAAATTTGCATAATTCCTGAAAGATGCCACAAGCGGGGGGAAAGTAGCTCCCTGAGGAGCAAAGAAACCAATCCTACAACAAAACACCTTTTTTTTTTATCTAACACTAACCTTGCAGTACATCATACTTTTTAGAATGTTTCCTCAGAAGTGCATACCTGTAGATATTATATGTCTATATTGCACAACATTTATATGTACATCTAAAATAAATATACTGAAATAAAAAATTATCTTCTTTTATATACGGTTCTTCTCTCTTTATCTGCTCACCAAAGCTTCTTCATTTTTTACCCTTTCTGTGGTTTAGGTTATGAAAACAAGGCCAAAAAAATACAAAATAAAACATTTCTAAAGGAATAAAAGATATAGAATAAAAGGATAAAGGATAAAAGATGCTTGGAGGAGCTTTGGAAAAGGTCGTGTTTTCATGTGTAAATAGATGGGAATACAAAACAAAACTGATATGGATCTCAAAATGTAATATACCGGTTTTGAATATTTCTCTGATGGATCATAGCATGTGTTAATCCACCGTTGACCTCTTGCTCACCAAATCCAAGGCTTTCAACTCTTCATAACAAACGACTGTAAACTTTAGAAGGATTTAAATGGCACTCTGAGGATGCTCGCCGTCAAATCCTTCTGGTGAAACCATACTGAGGATCAAGAGAACCAACAAGAGCCTGGGCTGCAAAAAGTCATAAATGCACTGGTTATAATGGGCTTGCTTTGGCATCAAATTAACACCTGGACTGATAAAAACACCTATAAATCTCCTGTTTCTGGAGATACTTTACAGAAACACATTCAAAATGTGGGAACACCACCTGCTTGCAGCATTTCAGACTCTTCCCAGCCCTTGTCTTGTGGTCATCAGCCCCCCAAAAAAGAAAAAAAGCAGGAAGAGGGGTGAACAGGATGCTGGAGGAAGGATCCAAGGACCTGGGGTCCAACTAAAGAAGTACTGGGGAAAAAAAGAAACAGCAGGAAAAAAAGGGATTAGGGAATGAGTCAGCTTTAACATGCACAGTCCTGATGGGGAGGGGCAGGCTGCTCTGCCAGCTGGGGCCCCTGTTTGGCGCCTGTAACGGCAGGATCTCCAGCATCCAGACTCTCTGACATCTTTTCACAGATGATATCGACAAGGCGCTCAAAGGTCTGCTTCACATTGATGTTGTCCTTAGCACTGGCCTCAAAGAACTCAAAACCTGGAGGAGAAACAAGGGCAGAGAGATTCTTTTAGTAAAACAAAATGTTTGCCTTCAAGATGATGCAAAATAATAATATTTTTTTTTTTTCAGAAACAGTAGAGCTGTTTTAAACAGGTTGATAACCTGCTACAGGCGAAAGGTTGAGGTCGGGACCCCCTCCAGGAGGTTAACAGCTGTAAAATCACTATAGGTTAATTTACACATCATTTTTGTGTTTAATATTGTCATTTTGCTGATTGTTGAATGTATCATCATCTTTATGGAACGTCAATATCACAGTTAGCATAGCAGAGCCTTAGAATGATGCTACCACCATGTTTTACACTTGGTACCGTACTCTTCACCTTGCCCTATTCCCTTTTTTCTGTTTTTTGTTTTTGCAAGTGGTTGCAAAACAGATAAACCATTTTCCCATCTTAACCATCAAACTTCTCCCCTAAGAAAAAATAGTTTTTTCTTTTGTTCAGATAAACATGTGAGCAGAGGCTTCTTTGTTCTCAATCTATTTGGAGGTGAAATCCCATCACAGTGGGATTGGTGTCAGTATGTTCACATTTTTTATAAGTTTTAGTCTTAGGGTTGTTCTTGATTGTCCTGATCTTTTCTTTTATAATAATCACATTTATTTGTTACATCATTTATCCAGTATACAATATACAAATGTGGCCGCTGCATCTAAACCAACTCTTAGAGAGGTTTGGACTGGCGATTTTGCACCTCTTCTGTTCTTTAAGGGCAAGTCTGGGTCATATGTGTAAAACTTTCAAACTGATGTTCTATCAGGTCTTTGATGTTCACAACAGGCTTTGAAATTAAATAAGTTGGCCAACTTTTAGCTTTTAGAAAGGGTCAAGATCGTACTCCTGTTAAATTTGATCTGTTAAAAGTTGGGTCTGTGCCAAAATAAGAACTATAAAACTAAATTAACTCTTACATTTCAGAAAAGCCTCATGGTCAACTTATTTAACCAGTTAGTCCAGAAGCTTAATGAAAGCTCAGAAAAATTTGGAATTTCTTCAGCTTGTTTAGATAGATTTAGACAAAATTATTGGGGGTGTTTATATCAGAAGCTTTATGTATGAATTTTGTCTAGGGGCGGATTTAAGAAAATCTTAACACATTTTAAGAGCTTGGAACCAACTCTTGTTTTTAAAAATTCACTGACACTGTTTATTTCATCTTTATTAACCCCTCAGTGAATAATAGCTTTGATGCACCTTTAACAAATCCGATTTATTCATGCTAATATTTAAAATTAAAATTGGAGCAGCACAAACGGTGCAAGGAGTTTAAACTTACCAAGATGTTCTGAAAGCTGCCGGCCTCTATCGGCACTCACCACCCTCTCGTCCTCCATGTCACATTTGTTTCCTACCAGCAGCACCTGGGCGTTATCCCACGAATATGTCTTAATCTGAGTCGACCTGGGAGCAAACACAACCAGCTTACTGTTCAAATTCAAAGGTTCAAATTCTTCCTCTCAGTCTAAGCAACGGAAGAGGGCAAAAACAAAAGTAAAAAAACTGCCATCACAGAGGCACGATTTATTCAATGAGATTAAATTTGTTGCAACAGTAACAAATTTCTTTCCAGAATGTTTCTTTCTTTCTAAATTATGCTTTTTTTTCTAAGTCAATCATCAGACCTGATTCAAAATCAAATGCAGACATTGGGAATAAATATTTGTTTCTGTTTAACTGACATGAAAGAAATGTTGCCTTATTCTAAATGGATCTTTATGGTTTTAACTTAAACATTTAAGCATAAAAATGCATCCATTCTGTTAAAAGCCAAATCTCCAGACTATCCTGATAACATTTCATTGATCCACACACATCCCTTTAACAAGTAGTGGTTACCATACACTTTTATCAATAAAAAAAAAAAAGAAGAAGAAAAATTCAGTCCTTCATCTGGAAACGTACCAGTCCTGGACAGCGTTGAAGGAGTCCTCGTTTGTGATGTCATACATGAGGATGAAGCCCATGGCTCCTCGGTAGTAAGCTGTGGTGATGGTGCGGTAACGCTCCTGACCTGCTGTGTCCTGGAAACAACAATTACAAAGTACAATTCTTCTGTTAGGTCACAGAGAATATTTATTAAATGTTAAATTAACAAATTGTTAGATAAGATGATAAGCAAGTGAAGCTGTGAAAAGAGGAAGCTGAAATAGATAAAAAAAAAACTCTACCAGTTTATAAAAGGAGTTACATAAATTTCTTCTTCCTGTGTTGAAAAACATTATATCTAAAAGAACTAATTAGAGATGTAAACGCTTCATATTGAAATGTTTAATTGTATTTATTGAGGCTTTCCTCCAAAAACTTTTCAGCAAAGATCAAGATAGTCTCTTCTGAGGTGCAGATTGTGCCTACAGTAGGTGTGCATCCACAATGGCAGTGAAGAAAAAAATCTTATAGTATTTCTCTTATGTCCCTATGTGCGAAAAACGGGTCAATGCTGCAGTGATTGTCTGTATTTTTCTGTAGGGAATCCTACTTCTGACAGTTTAAGGTGGTTAACAGCTTTAGAATAATGGTGCCATAAATCCTGTGGTGTTAAATGCTTTTGATTCATAGGAGTAAGTTAACTTACAATTTAGGAACACCGCCATAAATAGCCTGGGTGCCATTCCGAACTTAGTCCCGCCCACAACGTTTGAGGTCGGGAAGTTCGGTCTGGCATTGCTCAATAATAGCGCGAGTATGCTCGCACAATATCTGGCGGGCCAATCAAATTGTCAGGGCGGGCTTTATACGATGATGGACAGATGATCAACAGTAACGTAATCAACCACGTGACCAAAGCACGCTTGGGTGACAACAACAATGGCTGCCGCTGGAGAGTTGAGGTGTGTAGATTCTGCTATTAGGTCTGTTCTAGAAGATATCGACAGAAAATTTATTTTAAAAGAGGAACAGAGAAACGCGATCAAGGCTCATCTTCTTATTCTAGGCGTGAAACTGCACGCTTTGATTTTTGTTGACAACAACTATGCGTCTCTTAACATACGTCACACACTCCGTTGCTCTTATTGGTTGTAGGTCTATCCAATTGAGTGCAGAGGCATTTTTTTTCCTGGTTCGTTCAAAACACGCCCCATAATCACAGCTCTATGGAGCAGTATCAGACTCATATTCTGACTAGAATTGAGTAGGACTACGTCAGGCTAGTATAAATAAGGTCTGGTCGGTTAATGTAGTATCAGGTGGGTTTAGGAGGAATTTGTGGCACCATTACATCTACGTCCTTGTCCACAATTGCGTAGGGGGCCAACAAGGTGTCAGTGACAGGGCCCTAAGAGGTTCAGGGGCCCCTAAGGAACTGCAGTCTCTGCTTACCGATAGTTACGCCATTGATATGGATTTCACTATAAGAAATCCGGGGATAAGAGCATTAGTACTATATCTAAATAGTAAGTGTAGGTAGCACAGAGTGGTGTTATATAAACTCCTCTTATAAGCAGAACATTTCATGAGTGCAGAATGCAAGCTGAGAGGTGAAAATACTGCATCAATATCAATACAGTATTTAGTGTTTGAAAATAGATCAAATAAATCAGTTTTTCAAAAGGATGATGATTTAATGCTGGCGACAACTTTCTCCTGCCTCAACAGGCCCTATTAAATGGGTTTATTTCAATGAAATGAAAAAAAGCAATACTGTAGACCATTTATCGCTAAATGGGATAAAAAGACCAAAAAGTGCATGAAAGATAAATAAAATAAGACTAAATGAAAAGATTTCTGAACAATACAGGCAGCAAACTAAATCATCTGTCACAGAGGGAGGTTTAAAAAGGACCTTAGTTAGATGTGTTAGGTTTTAATAAAGTCGACAGTCCTTGAGATTTTATTCTTGAAATACTGAAGCCTGTTATTATTCGATATGAGTCACACTTATGTAAGCAGATAGAAGGAAGGCCACAGTAGGACATAGAAAAACTTTTAGACAATAGATGTTGTAATTTGCCCTAGTTAAAGGCAGCTCCTGCTCAGTGGAGCAATACGTAGCACTAGCACCTTGCAGCAAGAAGATCCGCGTTCGATTACGGCATGGAGTTTGCATGTTCTCCCTGAGGATGCATGGGTTCTCTCAGGGTACTCTGGTTTCTCTAAAATGTCCTTAGGTGTAAGTGTGTGTGAATGTTTGTTTGGTGACCTGTCCAGGGAGTACCCCGCCTGTCGCCTGCAGGGGCACCAGCACCCCTCGCGACCCTGCTTGATATAAGTGTGACAGAAAATGGATGGATAAAGGCAGCCTGATGATAAGCACCATTTTATCATTTCCTTTTTTCAAACATCAGCTTCTTTTATTTGGATTTTGTTTGACAAATGAACACACATTTACAACCATCACTGTTAAAAGAGAAAGACAGTTGTTTGCATGTTTAACCTTTTTTTTAAGCAAAAACTGAATCATATATTCTGAACATTTCTGTTTCACATTAAAACTGACTTTACTTGAGTTTAAAAGGCTATTCTAACACAAGAATATGGCTTTATTAAACAATTTTGATGTTACACTGGTAGAAATCTATGTCACCCTGCTAGAAGGTGAACAGGTTATAATTCTTTTCTTTTCAGAATGGGCGGGTATTTATATATTCAAGAATTACACTGCTCGAGGTGGCTGGACCTTGCAGTAGCTCTGCTAACCCTTTTTTGTTTTACTTTTGTAGTTGGACGATGTGCAGCTAGATGGACTTTTTTTTTTTAATTACTTTAGACCTTTGCACATTATGATGCATACCTTTGGCAACCAAGTTGCTCATTTAAACCCAGGAGCAGCTCATCTTTAAAGCTTAAATACTTTTGCTACTTTCTCAGTTCCCAACTGAGTAGAAAATCAGGCACCAAGGATTCAGAGCCGGAAATAGAAATAGAAGAGAGAGGAACAGCAAATTCAAGCCATCTCTTCCATCAGTCATTATGAGTTGTTTAGGAAACAAGTCATACAAATTCCCCCCTAGCAAGGGCCTAGAAAGAATATCAGGAATACAGTATTATGTTTTACTGAGACATGGCTGCAGGATCATACCCATGGCTCCAGTGTTTCTTTGTCAGAGTTTCTAATCATAATGTACAAGCAGACAGAGATTTTAAAAAGGCTAGAAAACTAAAGTTAGGTGGGTTGGCATTATTGCTGATATTTCTGCTGAGTTCCTTTGTCTTTGTGATGCTGTTTATTCATTAATGGTCTTTAACATACCTCTGCGGTCTTAACAGAAGAGCTGCAGTCATATAAAGTTTAAATTATATACAGACTGGTTTTATCTGCTAATGAGGAGAGTATTGAAGACATTTAGTTTCAGTGGTTTTTATTTAGAGGTATCACAGTAAAGGGATCAGACAATGAGAAAGGAGCTGACCCTAAACAGGACCCAAAGGGATCTTACTGAACTAAAACATAAGAAAATAACATTAAAAGGAAAACCTTAACCAACACATGGAGAGGAGAACACCTTAAGATATTAATGTATTAAAAAAATAAAGAACTGAATATAAAAAACACCCTCTGTAACCATAATATACATGATATAATATACATGATACGATATAATAATAATTTAGCATTTCATTAAACCCGTTAAAACAATTATACATGCTAAACGAACACAGAGTGCTGTTTCAGTGAGATACCATGCAACTGAAGGTACAGCTACAAGAAAAATCTGATCTAATTAAAAGACTATATAATATTTGCATCTAACTAAGCTTAGTGGAACTCAGGGTAAAATGGATCTTTGAATTTGAAAAGCTGCAGACCCACGAGGGATGATAGTGTTAGGCAGGCATCCCCAAACTCGGTCCTCGAGGGCCGCTGTCCTGCAGGTTTTAGAGGTTTCCCTGCTTTAGCACAGCTGATTACAATGATTGCAGAGCAAAAGTCTGTTGATCAGCTTTCAATTAAAAGCAGCTGTGCTGGAGCAAGGAAACCTCTAAAACCTGCAGGACAGCGGCCCTCGAGGACCAAGTTAGGGGAAGCCTGGTGTAAGGGATTATTAGGCTGGAGAGAAGTATGGTTAAAAAAAGTCAGCCTGAGAAATGCAGAAACACACCTTTATGATCCTCTGTTCACCATCACAGCATATTGTTAATCTTAAAAAACAATAGCTTAATGCATTTAAGCTCACCTCAGTTTTCTCTGCAAGAGGCTCCTAAATGCCTCTAATCTATTTGCACAAGAACCTTTATAACCAACTAGGGTTGTCAAAAGTATCGAAACTCAAAAAAGTATCGATACTGAAATGTTGTATCTGGATACAATACTCGTTTTTAAAAGTATTGATACAGTGCCGTCACCAGTGGCACCTAAGCAGTCATTCATCTAAAGTGCAGAATAGAGAACAATGCACTTTCAGAACACTGTGTGATTGAATAATTCTACGCACTTTTCAGTTTCAGACTTTTTTTTTGTAAGAACTGCAGCTGCTGAGAATTATTTTTGTTTCTTAACTGGTTTGGCTAGTGTCACTGTTATGTGTGCAAAGCATAGCCAAGGAAGGAACACTTAATTTGAATTTTATAAGTTTTTTATCAAGCTTGCTTAATATTATGCACAGCATACAACCTTTATTGTGTTTATTTATTATATTTTATTTATTAATGAAAATATTTCTGTAGACTTTTGGAGTCTGTTTTTATCCTTGTGGTATCGAAAATGGTATCGAGTATCGAATATTTTCCATAGTATCGGTATCGAGTTGAAAAGTTTAGTATCGTGACAACCCTATAACCAACACATATATAATGCAACCAAACGCCAGAGAAAACATTCTATTTGCTCCCGAAGGCAGGTCAGCTCAAATTGCTGTGTCATTATATCTGGACTAATTTGTTCTTCTCTACCCATTTTACCTGAGTGAAAAATCTGTGTGTAATCAGAGGACGGTTTGCACAGCTGAACCGCAACATAGGGCCTTGCCTCACAGCAGGCTACTCTGATATGGTGAAATTTAACATGAGATCTTAGTTTCTAAATCACCAGAAACCTGTTGAAATATGATTAAAAGAGGCAGTCATCATAAGTTGTCTATTTGGCTGGGATTACTATCCAGGGATAGTCAATCAACTTCCTTTTATGTGTACATCAAACTTTTTATTTTTCCTTTCTGAGCAGATCACCAGCAAACACAGATGCATTCATAAAATAGCCTTTGTTGATAGAAGAGAGGATAATAGAAATTCAGACAGAATGCATATTTAGGGAATATTGTTTAACAGGTTTTGCAGGATCTTCCTAAAATGCAAGGGGGAGGGGGGGGAATAACTGGGAAATGAAAAAAGAAATATCCACCCATCCATTTTTTATACCTGCTTCACTTGACAGGAGGGTTGGTATCTTTCTGCAGGTGCCATTTGGTGAGAGGTACGATATTAAAAGGTCACCAGCTCATCAAAGGACAACACAGAGATGCATAGACAGAACAAACATCCATGCACAAACACACTCAACCCTATGTCAGTTTAGCCAGACCATTAACCTGGCAGTCATGATTTTGCAATGTAGGACGAAGACGGAGTGCCAAGTGAGCACACATGCATGCACAGGAAGAAAATATCAATTTGATTCAGAAAGACCCAAGGCCAACATTCAAACCCAGGACCTTCCTGCAAGACAAGAGTACCCCCTACAGAGCTATAAATAGAAAAATATCACCTGATCAAATTAAATTATCTATGACCAACAGGGAGGAATTAGCCATGATGCCACTGCAAAAACAAAGACAGCTTCGACTTCGCTAACGAACAGAAGGACAAAGCTCTGTCCTTTATTCTGAAAAATCAAAAACTAACCATTTAGTGATAAGAATTTGGAGGAAAAAGACAGAATCTTGCAACTCCAAAAACACTTTAGAGAACTGCGGAGGTGGCAGCATCAAGCTGTGTGGCTTTCTTTGTGCAACTCTTATCTGGTGTAATGAGAAATACTGAAACAATATTTAAAAATATCATCCATAGAGTTAAGTCCTCCACATAAATAGGTTTACCAAATGATCAGTGGGTCTAAACACACCACTGAGTGGAGCTCTGATTTCAGCCTTACTGTTTTTGCTTTCAGGTAGAGGTGAAAAGGTGAGACGGCACACATGTGACTTAGTTACATTTCTATACAACCTGTGGGAGCCTATTCACTGCTCTAATCAAATATTACATATTCTAAAACAAATAATTTGTAACAGAATTTTTCTTTTGATTAAATTGTGCATCCTTTTTTTCTTGGGCTTACCCAGATCTGTAGTTTGATCCTCTTATCGTTCCTGTAGATGGTCTTCACCTTGAAGTCAATCCCCACTGTGCTCACGAAGGCCGGTGTAAATGAGTCGTCGGCGTAGCGGAACAAGAAGGAGGTTTTTCCTACACTGCTGTTTCCAATAATGAGGATCTTGAACATGTAATCAAAGTTCTGGTCTGAAGACTCTTTCTGTCCATAGGTCGCTGTTGCTGAGGCCATCTGGGGGAAATGAAAACAGAGAAAAACCTTGATGAACTTAGGCTGATGGATGTTACAATAATCTAAGACAGGATCGACTGGCATCAATGGGCTAATAACCATAAATGGACTGTAACAGTTTAGTTTAACAGAAAAAAACAGGTAGAGCCTCTAATAAAACAATTTTTAATCTTTATTAAGAAAAAATAATCCATACAAACTTAATTTGTTGGATGTGTCAAGCTTTTATTAAAAATACAGAAAAGAGCTCATTTTAACAGGAAGTTAGAAAAGCTGCACTTTGAAACTCCTGTTAGTCATTTAGCTCAAAGATAGCTGAGAGTTTATTCATCATGTTATTTACAAAGCAGGATAGGATGTCATTTTAAAACACTCTCTAATCCTCTAAGAAGTAAAAGAACACAAGCCTGATCAAATACTTTAGACCTGGGGAAGGGTTAATTAATTTTACTGTATTTGAGTTTTTCTTTCATTTTGATTCCGAAAATCTATTGGTAAAATGTTTACATCTTTCATAATGAGATGCTTTCTTATTGCAGAATAAAACTTTCTTCATCATTCAATGATGCCATGGTCAAAAAGAAAATATTTTTACCTTTTAACTTCATGGTAAATGAAATAAAATCCACATTAATACTCACCTTTGGACATTTTAAGCAGCATATTTTAAATAAGCTAAGTTTTTGAGTCTAAAGTAACCTTACAGTAATTTTCCTTCCACTTTTTACTGGTTATTTCTTGTGCTTGATTCTACTTTTTACATTTTGAACCTATATTTTGAACCTGGTTACAGCCATAGCAAAATGTGTATGTCCCCGGTTCCTATGATTGTCATGTGGAGTGCACAATAAAGTCCTAATAAGAGAAAACCTCTGGAGTTGTTCATTTCTGATAGCAGGGAAGCAGGGCAGATAGCGGTTTTATGTTGTTACACATTTTCTTTAGATATTTTCCCACCATTTGGGTTTGGCTAAGGTTTGAGATTCCTGCAGCACCTGTCCGACTCAGCAGAAGAAGTGGCATTGATTAACTAGTTGGGTTTAAAGGTTGCTCATATGCTACTCAGATATTAATCAAAGCAGCACATTGCAGAGTCAGGGAAAAACAGCTTTTGCATTTTATTGGAATAAGTTTGGAGACAATCAGTCAAAATGTCTGGGAGAAAAAGGAACACAATTTACTGTTCAGAGAGCATGTTAGGAGATTTACACACAGAAGTTGAAATGTATATTTTTGTAAACTTCAGAAGATTATGGCCAACTGTTCATACGCACACGGAAACGTGGTTTTTCAAATGTTTGCATTCAGCTCTTCCACAAACTATTAGGAAGAAGTTCCATGCATGCATCTTAAGTTACAGTTGATTAAAGCTGCAGCCTGATGACTGCACCAACAAAGACACCCCTGACAACAACCTATGTGATGGTTGTAACTTAAGAGTTATTGGTCAAACAGCAAGTATACGCCCCTCATACTGTAACACAATCCAGCGTGTCTGATTCAAATACCGTCTCAAGTTCCCTTGGTTTTTGTTTTTCCAACCATTACTTGACTGTATCTTTTTTTTTTAGGGTTTTTGGGGTTTTAATATTGTTTTTTCTTTTATTTCTGGTTCTATGTTCTTCTAAGTTGGTTTACCTTCCAGCTCTCTAAACACCAGAATTCAGTTTAGTAATTTCCCATTAATAATCAGACATCAGTTCTCGCAGTGTCTAGAACTTTAATTGCAATGTATGCTAAATGTATTATGTTGCATATTTTTTAGCAGAGGATTTTTGTGTATTAAAAACTGAGACTTTTTAGGAGGAATGGTGGCTCATTTGAAAGTATAACCTTCTTTAGATCAGAGTATGTTCATAGTTAATAAACAGTTTTGAGGATTAAGTAACTATTTGTAAGAAGCACTTCCTTTTTGGTAGTCTGAAAAATAATCTCCTCTACACACGTGGACAACATTGTTGGTGCCCCTTGTTTAAATGAAATTTTAAAAAGATATTACGACAAAAACTTTTGCTACAGACCCTTCTTCTGTGGTTAATGAAGTCCAATGTTTTTCTTTTTGTGTGGTTGGCTTGTTTTTTAAATATAATCTATTTGGGAGGGACGTGGACTTGGTCCTGCATTAACATAAAGTCAGAGGAAGAAGCCATTACTCAGGAAGCAAATTTGTGTCAGGGACCAAGCCCTTTATTTTTTAAAGGCCTATGTTTGGATGTAACTAAAATGGGTTAGTAAGTATTAAGCTTGTTGCATTCTACGCAAGAACAGAGAAACTGGTTCTTGTTGTTGTGGTGGAGAGAAAAAGAAGAGAAGTTTGAGTATTCACTGTTTATGAGAAACTCAGTGACCAAACTCATAGATTGTCCAATCGACAGTAGCTTACATCACACCACAGCAAAAAAGGTAGATAGATGTAAAAAAATAAATAAAAAAATTGTTAGTAATATTGAGGAAAATCTGTATGAAAATGGTTGAACAAAATTCTGACATTGCTTTTCTTGTTCAACAAAATGATTTAAAAAATAAACTTGTGGATCAGGCCTGGACAAAAATGATGGCATTCCTGGAAAACTATGAAAATAATATGACCAAACGCACCATTTAAATCAAGGTGTGTCCAATAAATATTGCAACAGTCAATGAGCCTTTATATAGGGCTACAGGTAGTCACTGTGCTGTTTGGTGACATGGTGTATTCCACACTCAACATGGACCAGAGGAAAAGAAGGAAAGAGAGGTAGAAAGAGAAAGAAAATAATAGACAAGCATGTGAAAGGTAAAGGTTATAAGACCATATCAAAGTAGATGTGACTACAGCTTCACATATTCAGAAAATTAGAGCCGAAAATTATGGTAACTTTAGCTTAATATTTAGTTTCACAACTTTCTGAGGCAATCTAACAATTCCTATAAATGTCCATGAGACCGTTGCACCTCTCAGCTGGCATTTTAGTCCACTACTTATAAAAGAACTGCTCCAGTTGTCTCAGGTTTGAATGATGCCTTTACCAGATGGAATGTTTCAGCAGTTACTTTTTTATTTCACACAGGCCATGCAGATAAGAGTCTGATCAGAGAAAAGGCCCCAGGGAGTCTTCAGCCTAAAGGCAACAGTTTTTAAGCTTTCTTGAAACTGTTGAGGTTTTCTTTTTTATCAATTTAGAGTTTAAAGGGGAACGCCGTTTTTTTTTACATTGGGCCCTTGATTTTACATTATTACATCATGTTCTACTCACCCATATTAGTTTTGTGTCATTTGGAGCTGTTTTGAAGATATTTTGTTAGGTTAGATCCAATTAACGTCTTCTTATGGGCAAAGGACTTGAAGGCACAAACTAAACTGATCATAATTTATTCTTTATCATGCGCCAGCATTCATAACATGTAGGCGAATCACTGTCCCCCAAACATCCGCGGTTATGTTTTTTATATTTATATGTTTTAAAAACAAAGCCTTATGACCCATGGTGTGATATCCCTCCTACTGCAGGCAGAGTCCACTTTGACCTTAGAATGCTATCATTTTATTGTAAACATTATTTCTTAACAAGCCAGTCATCTTCAAACTGCTGGAAATGAAAATTGAATTGAAAAAAAAAAAAAAAATTTTTAGTATCAAGAAACACCTCTTTGTCACAAAATACTAAAACTAAACTTTGCTCTTTGAGTTGGAATAAGAATCGAGGAAGCTTTAGGTGTTTTGTTGCTGTGGTGGGTTTTACTAATACATTCACATGAAGGTGAGTGTTTCTGAGTGTCGGTAACTTTTGAGAAACCCTCCAATCTTCTCTATATTTAGACTCTTATCTCAGCTCTGCTGCAGAGGAACGTTAAACTCACAGACAATAATGCAGAAACAAAACAACAGCTCCCCCCTCACAGCCTATCAGCTTACACGAAGGAACAGGGAAGAGCTTGTTAAAAATGGAACAACCTCCTCTGACACACTGAGGCACAGAGGATGGGTGAATGAAGGTGTGAAACAACCAACCATTGACAGACTAAACTACAGCGAGATGTAAAGAAAGATGTTAGAATTACAGCTTAATGCATTAAATATTTCTTGTGTTTGCATTAACTGATCCTAACTAAGTTAGTCGGCCCTAAAGAGATTATTCACATTTGTTTGGTTAAAGCAGTGTCCTGATTATCATGAGCTGGTTAAATTAATGTGTTGATACAGTTGAACAGTGGGGCTAGAAAACTGTTATATAAGTGAAATCCTTCACAAATACAAGGAACTGCCTTTTAATATATTTTATTTTAGTTTTCTTTTATGTAAGTGGTAATACTAGTACATAAACTAGGCTCTGAGGCAATGCATTACAGCTGCACTCAGTAGTAATGAGATTAAACAATGCAGACTGTAAAGGAAATAAATAAAAAAATATATATATATATATATATATAAAAGGACGGAAAGAATGGCACATCACCAGGAGTGACTCAGCAGCTGAGAAAGCTGCTTCAATAGAGTAATTCAATGCTTCTTACTGGCTCATCATCAGCAAAGATGAAAACTATGAGGAGTTTAAACAGGCTGTCAGTCTAGAGTATATTTTTGGAACTGACTCAATGAAAGATGAGGTAAAAAAATGTATAATTTACAAAGGAATGGATACTTTTACGCATGGCCGTAACCATATTGCGATAAATCTTACTCGACAAAAAAACATCCTAATATGGTGACTTTTTAAAATATATTTTGGAAACGTTAATGAAGAGAGTTAAATCACAAGCTCATCAAGGAGGTGAATATGAACATGTTTATTATAAAAATTCCAGCACTAACAAAATTAGAACATTTGAAGTGAGCGTTATTATTATTATCATCATTATACTATATTATTCTTGTTGTTGTTCTTAATATTTAATTATTATTACTACTATTATTATTGTCACCATCATCACCATGCATGTGCTTGGCCCACTAAATGAATCAAATGACTTGCAATAATATTGTGGACTTTACTTTTTTTAAACAAATGATAATGCATGCT